TGTGATCTTGCTGTCAAGCCAGGGGCCAACCCAAAGGTGTTGGGAGCTGCCCCCACTGCGTGGTTGTTCGTAGGGAGCCCCTGTGTCCAGGAGCATTGTTTAGTTCTGGCTCTGAGCTCGGCTGGGTGGCAGACTGGCTGTTTTCATTCTCCTGTTGTGAGGCTGGGGAAGCTCTGCTGGGGGGGCCATACAGTCACAGGGTGTTAGAGCTGGCCACATCCCAAGCTGGGTATCTCCTGTGGCTTCCCAGCTGCTCACCCCACAGCCTGGGAGCAGCCAGAGTGGTGCCCCCTCCGTGGGCTCACAGCCCCCTCCTGTTTGGAGGGGGGACCTGGGGCCTGGGTGGGGGGGGAGCTGGTCTGTTGTGTTCTGGGTGGGTGAGCTGGTCTGTTGTGCTCTGTGATCTCTCTCTGTGGAAGGCGTTGTGCAATTCTCTTTCCTTGTGGTTTTTAGTCTGAGAAATCAAATAAAAAAAACCCCTTTTTCTCCTTGTTTTCTGGTATGTGAACATGCTCAGGGTTCAAGCAGGCTCTTTTAAACTGCTGTATGTGTCAGGCATCTAGGGAGAGCTTTTATTTCTCTGGAAGAGCAAATCAAGCAGGAGGTTTGCAGCCTGGGAGGACAGTCCTGCTGGGGTCTCTGACTCAGCCAGTGCCCTGGGGAGGGCAGGGCCAGGAGGAGTCTGGGTCAGAGCTCTGGGTGCAGCCAAACTGAGCCTGATTTCACCACCCAGCTCATCTCTGCAACACCCATCCTATCCAAAAGGAAAGGGATGCTGGAGCCCTGCGCACTCAAATGCCTGGTTTAAACTCTTGAGTGCTCACAGGGAGTGCCAGAGTGCCACACGTGCCCCCACGACCTGGATTTGGGGAAAAAGAAAGCTCTCTGTGCCCAAATTTCCCTGTGCCCAGACTTCTCCTTGTCATGTAACACGTTCACAAAGAAGCCTGTCGGTTTGTGAGCAAAGCTGTAATCTTTCAAGGCACATAATCATGTCTTAAACATGAAATTACCAGTGGTTTTGTTTGAAAATGTCAAGAAGAGGTGCTGTCCTTGAAGGGTTTATTGCAGGGGACCTGCAGGAGGTTGGTGCTCTGTGCTCCCAGCCATAGCTGCCCTTGCTGGTGTACTCTGGGATGTGGTTCCAGTCCCTTCCTTCCACTCCTCTTTTATGAGCTGCTGGCAAACAGCCCCAGCCCATCCTGGGGGGAAAAGGGCTTTGATTGTTGGGGGAGGTCTAGTCTGCAGTTGTGGCAGGCTGGTGTGTTAGGGTCTTTTATTTTCCATGCAGAGAGCTCAGAACCATAGAATAGTTTTGGTTGGAAAAGACTTTTCCAGATCAAGTCCAACCCTTCCCCCAGCACTGCCAGGTCCCCACTGCCCCGTGTCCCTCACCCCACATCTCCACAGCTTGGGAACCCCTCCAGGGGTGGGGACTCCACCACTGCCCTGAGCAACCCTCCAGGGGAAGAAATTGTTCCTCAGGTCCAACCTCAACCTCCCCTGGGGCAACTTGAGGCTGTTTCCTCTTGTCTTAAGCCAGCACAGTCCAGTGCAGTAGCTCCCTGGAGGGGGGAGGTCGCTGGGTGCTGTTTTGGATGGCATAGAGATCTCCTCCTTGAGCCTCATGTGGGATGGTGGGAGGGCATCCTGTGCTGGAGCAGGGACCTGACCTGTGGGGAAGGGTCTGGGTGGGTCCAGAGCTTGGGGAGAAGTTAGTGGGGTGTTGTAGGGGTCCTCAGTGAAAATCCTGAGGGTGCGTGGGGGCGTTTGAGCTCGAACAACTCCTCCTTTGTTAGCTCCCTGTGCAAGGACTTGCTTACCCCTAGCACGAGGTGGCTGTTGGGTTCCCTCCTCATCTGCCCTGACCTCTGTGAGCGTGTCTGCTCTTCTGCTGCTCCCCAGGGCTCTGGGGGGTGCTGAGCAGAGCAAACCCCAACAGGCTCTGGGAGCCAGGCCCTGCCCAGGGCACTGTGCTGCAGCCTTGCAGGAGGAGGATTTTTCAGAGCTTTGTGTAGTTTTGTGCTCATATTTTCTAGATAGCATCTTGAGCAGCTCTGAGGGGGTTCCCCAAAGCTGGATTTAACCTGATTTTACTGGGGGGTGAGGGGCAGTTGTCCCAGTAAAACCCCTTTGTGCAAGGAGCTCCCTGTTTCACCAGGAAACTGCAGCAGCAGAGTTGTCTGGGTGGGAGATTTGCTCCCTTTCCACCTACTGGCACTGAAAAAAGGGCCTTGTCCACAGGAGGGCCTTGTCCCCACGAGAGCTGCACGCCGTGAGGGAGCAGCAGCTTCTCCTGAAGAGAAGGCTGCTGATGAAATATTCATGCTCCTCACTGAGTCACCAGCCAGACTGGATTGGGTCTCCTGCTCCCTGAACCCTGCAGGAGTTGCACGACTCCATCAACAGCTTCTTCTGGTTCTCCAAGAAAATGAGGCTTGCCTGATTTTGCTGCTGTGTGGGGCTGGCCACACGTTCCCTCCTCTTGGCAGCCTCGGAGTCTCTGCCTCTTGCAGCCAAATAGGGCAGGAGGCAGAAATCTGAAAGTTAAATTTCTCTGAGTTTCATGAGAATAAGTATCCTGGGAGAGAAGAGGGGGGGGAACCAGGTGTAGGCTGTGGGAGAGTGCACTGAGCTCAGCTTCTGGTAGGCAGGAGATCATCTCAGGTCCATCTGCAGTGGGTAGGAGCTGGGATCCTTCTGAAGGATTTTGAGCAATAATAAAGAGCAAAAATGATTGAGGAGCTGTGGAAGGACAGCTGCTGTGCTGTTTGCTTGTTGACAGGATGAGCTGCTTTGTGTCCTCCTCTCAGGGAGGTAAATAGTAAGAAATGGAGGCAGAGCAGCTCCCAGCTCTGGCTGTCTGAGCTGGGATTAAACTCAGCTCCTCTGGGGTGAGGGTTTGTGCCCAGAGTGTGGCTGCTCCACTGGGAGCTCAGTGAGTGTCTGGAGAGGACGTGGGAGGGCTGGTGTGTGCTGAGCTCACACAGATGTGCTGCCCAAAGCTCCTCCTGCCTCAGAGAGCTGCAACTCCCTCCTCTTAACTTGTGCTGGCTGCTCAGACTCTGCCTGGTTTCCCTTCCCCAGAATTGGCATTAGGATATTCCTTGTCTGGCCAGACCCTGATTTCCTAAAGTCTGTCTTATCTGAATTTAGGATAAACTCTTCTGAGTCCACAGAGATACCTGTGCAAACAGGATGGGAAACCCCATCCCTTGTGGACAGGCAAATACTGAAGGACAAATGAAATTCAAGATGACTTGCTGGCTCTCGTGGCTTGGCTGTGATTCCCTTGGAAGGAATTCCTAATTTTCCCTGCTCTAACAAAATCCTTTCTGCTGCCAGGTGATGTTGGAAACTACTACTATGGCCAAGGACATCCCATGAAACCCCACAGGATTCGGATGACCCACAACCTACTGCTGAACTATGGGCTCTACAGGAAGATGGAGATATATGTAAGTGGAGGGCTGGTCCTGGAGAGAAGTGGGTAGGAGAGAAATTAGTTTACATGTCAGGTTTTAATTTTAATGCTTCAGACTCCTGAGTTTTCTGTTGACAAAGAGGAAAGGAAGAAAAATAGTTGTGTTGCTGTATTCCTGCTTTCTTCTGGTTGCTTGTAGTGAGATGTTCTTTGCTTCAGATAAGCTTTGGCTACATCTGTAGTACATTCTGATCTCCAGCAGTGGCCTTCTTGCCTTTGAAAAGTAATTTCTCATTGAATGCTGCTGGTTTGAGTTTTTTTGGCTGTTCATGGGAGTAAATCTTGAGTGTGGAAACAGGGATTAGAGAGAGATGTGTCTCCAAACAAGCCTTGATCTCTTTTTGTCCTTGCAGCGCCCTCACAAGGCAAATGCAGAAGAAATGACCAAGTACCACAGTGATGACTACATCAAATTTCTGAGATCTATTCGCCCAGATAACATGTCAGAGTACAGCAAGCAGATGCAAAGATGTAAGCCATGCCTGTAGTGCTGTAGTTCCTGCCAATGCCAAAATTTGTGCTGCTGCAAATCCTCGCCCAGCTTGAGAGGTTTGTGGTAAAAAAAAAAGGAGCCACGGGGAAATTTGGCTTTTCCCTAATTTTGTGTTTGATGTAAATCAGGCATTTTAAAAATAGGTCCCTCTCTCCAGCCCATGTGCCAGAAGAGCTGTGAAAAGCCCTTTGACCCATCTGTCTTTTTTTGGGTCTTGTGCTCTGATGGAAAGTCTTCTAAATTGCCTTGCTGGCTCAGAGATGGCTGAACCCCCCCACTGATGAGCTGCATGTATTTTCTGTTATTATCTTTAACCAGAGATATTGAGGTGGGAAAAGATGGTGTCATTTAAACAAAAAAAACCCAACTCATCCATCATGGCCCAAATCTGCAGGAACTCTGAAGGATTTTCAGGGCAGTGGCAGTTTGGGAGTGGAGGAGGGTAGAGAGGCACAATAATACCTGGCCACTTTGTGTTAGAATGGTTTATTTTGTGAGCTAATCTCGTGTTCTGACCTCTCCAGTCCATGGAAGGGCACTTTAATAGTGACTTTTTTACAGAAACCTTTTTATTTTTGGTCTCTGCAACTCTGAGCTGATGTTCTTTGGCAACGACTGTGGCAAAAGAGATTCTAGAGACTACAGACAACTAGTGGGGAAGGCTGGAGCTTCCTTGAAACAGTATTTTGGTCTTGCACACTGCAATCCTCAAGAGCAGCAAAAAAGTCCCCTGGGGTTCATTTGTGTGGAGGAACTGTAATATCCAATTTAGAAGAAATATGGGCCTCAAGTTGAAGTAGAGGCACTTGGAAATGTGGTAGGAGCTGAAGGGGACAGATGTTAAGGCACAAGCTGGGAAGAGGAATGGGTGATATGGTTCATGAGTAATAGACATTGAAAGGCTCCTACAGGAGCTGAGATATCAAAGGACACGTAGCAAAGTACATATTTACACGAGCTGAACTGTTTACCCCTGAAGCAGATACAGCTCATAAACACCCACTGCTCTCTCTGCTAGTCAACATTTTCTGTACTCTACTTGCCCAGAACTATTTTTACCTGAAGGAGGCAGAATTAATCTTAAAACATGCAGAGGACAAAGATTTTCCTTCAACCAGAGCTGCTAAATTGCAGGCTGTGTGTAGCTAGAGAGCTAGCAGAGAGGGCTCAGAGTGGAGATTAGGGATGGAGGAGACAAGGTCACCACTGCCAGCCTGCCTGGTGCTTCAGCTTGCCCTTTGAGGGGAGGATAGCTGCCATCATTTCCCTAAGGAGGGTTCAGCCTTGAACCCTGGGCTCTCTTTGGTTGCACCCTCCCAGACACAAAGCTCCCCACCCACCCTCTGAAGGAAGAAGGAGCATCTCTGCCTCTCACCTTCCACCAGAGCTTTATGGCTGCAGTCAAGTGATTTGCCCCTGTTATTAACATCCCTCCTTAGTAGTTCTGCTTGCTTTGGAACTCTTGGTGGGGAAAAAACCCAGCTGGCTTCTGTCCACACAGCAGCTCCTGGCTTTGGTACAGCAGAAGGATGGCCTCAAAAGCTGTCAGTGGTGCCCACAAAGTTCTGAGGGGCAGCAGAAGCAACAAATACTTTCTAATGTCCTGCTGCTCATGGTGTGTTGCCTGCCTGAGTGCTTGGGAGGACTGTGCTGGAACCTAAAGGGCAAGCAGGTTAATTTTTTGTAGTGAGAAGCATTCAGAAATCAAGGACTTAAATTCTCCTCCCCTCCCAAGGAAAGTGTCCAACCACCTCTTTGAGCTGATCCTTCAAACTCTGCCAGTTGCCATGCCCTGCTGGAACAATTGCAGAGTGGGAACAATCACTTCCTTCTGGGTCTCCTGATGGGTATTGTGCTTCCCAGAGATCCCTGTCCCTAACTGGGACCATTCAGACTCCCTTATCACACAGTCTTTGTGGAGGCTCTTCACTGACAAGCTCCAATTGCTGCACGAGCTGTGCTCTTTGTGCCTTTCTCATGAAGCACAGAAGAAAACACTCTACAGATGCTAAAAAAGTATGGATTATTTGTTTGCTGGCAAAGCAAGTCTTGCAAGATCTAGATTCAACAGAAGTCTGTTGTTGCTGGGTTTGTTTCTAATTGCAGAACTATTTACAGTAGAAATTTACCCAGGCCAAAGCTACAGTACTGCTGAGAGCTTAAAAACTGATTGTCCAGTGTGGAGTAAGAGGAATGTATGAAGTGTAACAGCAGGGACAGGGCTGTAAACTCCTCACCCAGCACACCCCACTGTCTGCCATCTCCCTGCCCTCTCCTGCAGCACTGGCACTGTTTGCTTTCTCAACTCCTCATCAGCAATCCAGCAGGAAACAGGAGGAAAAGCCTTTCCCACAGCCTGTGGGGTTGTGTCATGGAGCTCAGGGGCAGCCACGTGATCAGAACCAGCCCCATTTCACCCCAAAAAGCACAATGCCAGGGCAGGGGGGCTGCAGCCAGGCCCATGGGGGGTAGTGAGGGGTGCTGGGCTTGCGTGTGGCCGTGGTGAGCAGCGTGTGACAGTGCCAGAGCTGAGTGCTGCAAAGGTGTCACCTCAGTGCAGAGCTGGTGCTGACGTGTGGGTGTTGCCCAGCCCTTGCTGAGGGCATCACCTCTGCCCACTCTTTTTCCATCACTGTTGGTTTCAGGGTCCCTCCTAGCACACCTCAGTGGCTGGTCTGTGGCTCTCACCAGAGCTCCTGGAACCTGCTCTCCCATTTTCTTACAAATCAGGAGCCTCTTCCCTACCTCATCAGGCCATCCTCAGGTTGATTCCATTAATACTCTGTCCCTTGGGCATGGTATTTTGTTGTTTAATGCCATTTTGATCTCTTCTCTGTTGTGCTTTTTTTATAATCAGAGTGGTGGTGTAAACTTTGCCATTTATTTGTAGCTTTCTGTTCCTAACTCTTGTGTCTTTTTCAAGTTAATGTTGGGGAGGACTGCCCTGTGTTCGATGGGCTGTTTGAGTTCTGTCAGCTCTCTGCTGGAGGCTCTGTTGGTAAGCTCACAAGTCGTGTGTTCTTTTCTTTTTCTCTTGAGCAGATGTATGTAATGTGGCTCTGGTTGGAAACAGATTGTGGTAGGGGGTGGTGGGGAAACTGTGAACCTATTTCTGATTTCCTTAATAATTAGATCCAGATTCCTTCCCATGTTTGAGCCCATTGACAGATCCCTGGATGTTTGCTAAGTGGATTTTCACTAGTCAGGGTTACTTCACTGAATGCACAAAGGACTCTGAAAAGGGTACAACAACATGACCAGAGACACAGTGAAACCAAAACCACAGCAGCAGCAGAGTTTAATAAAAAAAAAAACTACATGAGCTGTACAGGAAGAAAAAAAAAAGGTTATAAAAACCTTACTCTGGGCAGAGATAACCTGAAAAGGAAAGAAAAGGATTACTTTGAACAAAAAGCCACTGTCTGTGGACATCAGGCAAAACAGAAGCTGGAAGGTTTGAGTGAGCTGCCTGAAAGCTGGAACGTTTTAAAATGCTTTCACTGTTTCCCAGTACTTTGTTGCAGGCAGGCTGGTGTTGCAGAGCTGGCTTACTGTGCTCAGATGTTCAGGCTCTGTGGCTGCTGCTCCCACAGTGACATCTACAAGTCTTTATTTCCTGTGACGTGGGTCAGCAGCACCTACAAGTGCCACCTGCAGCAGCTCCCTGCTCTCTGTGGGCTCCACAGAATGTCTCATTTCTTTTCAGCCTGGGAGACTTGCAAAATTTACAGAAAGTCTACGAAGGGGGCTGGGGAGGGGGAAAGAGAACTTGGCTTTGCCTAAATGTGTGTTTGGTGAATGACCTACGTGTGTGAGGGATAAAACCTTTCTCAGTGCCCTCAACAAAAGATTTTCATGGAGTCGAGGCTGTCCTCAGCTGTGACCCCTGCCAGAGGCCTGTGGGCTTGTTTGTGCAGCTTTTGTGCTCTTGAGGCAGAAGTGGGAAGCAGTGAAAAGTGTGTCTGGGCAAAATGGAGCCTGCGTTCCTCTTTCTGAGCCTTTTGTTGAGACATCCAGTGGTTAAAGCCTTGGGCTGGGGCTTTGTAAAGTGCCCAAACTCACAGTGTGAGCGGCGAGGTGAGCGGGAGGGGCCAGAGCTTTACCCTGCAGGCTGTCTGGGGGTCTGTGCTCTCATGCTAACTAAGGTTTTTTGTGATTCTGGTCCCAACAGCCAGTGCTGTGAAGCTGAACAAGCAGCAGACAGATATTGCTGTGAACTGGGCAGGAGGCCTTCACCACGCCAAGAAGTCAGAGGCCTCTGGCTTCTGTTACGTCAACGATATCGTCTTGGCCATCTTGGAGCTCCTGAAGTACGGGCAGTACTGTTTACCCCTTCTGTTTGTCCTTCCTGCAGCACTGCTCTGCCTCTCTGGGCAACCTGGGCCAGCTTTTCACCACCCAAGGCATACAAAATTCCTTCTGTCTAGCCCAGAGAGAGCTGCCTGGTAGCTCTGCAGCCTGGGGTTTAGAACAAGTTCCTCACTCTCCTCCCGTTTGCTCTGCTGGTGAAGGCTGTTTGTGCTCTGGAGACACACAGTGTTTTGATTCCTTTCTGCTCCTAGGTATCACCAGAGAGTGCTGTACATTGACATTGATATTCACCATGGAGATGGTGTGGAGGAAGCCTTTTACACCACAGACCGGGTCATGACCGTGTCCTTCCATAAGTATGGAGAATACTTCCCAGGAACAGGGGACCTGCGGGTGAGGATGGAGGCTTGGCAGAAAACTACCCTCAAATTTGGTCACTTCCCTCTCTTTGCTGTCATACTAATTTAACTAAAATCACTGCTTTCCTTTTCTCAAAATGACATCCTTTTTTTCTGGGGACAAAGGTGTGTTGAGGCAGCTGCCTCTGCTCTTGGAGCAGTGCTTTGGTCCTGTGGTCGTGGCCTGTACAGTCATAAACCCAGGGCTTTGCCACCAGCCTCTCAGCAGCCTTCTGGTGGGATGATGCCCAGAAAAGTGCCTCTGAAGGTGCCATGTTGGTCATCTGCAGCCACTTCCAAACTAAGCTTGGTCACGTCAGCTTTGGGGTGGAAATTTATGAGGTAGCACTTCTCTGTGCTTTGGTTTATCTTGTTGGTATTTCCTCCTGTGAGTCAGTTCTGCCTGTTCTGTATCGTGGTGTTAACTGTGGCACTCCTTCAGGTTAGATACAGGTGTGGTTCCCTTGTGACTCCTGACATAGCCAGCCTGCTGTTCTCAGCAGTGAAAGGTAATTCCACTGAAAAGCACATTAAAAAAAAAAACCACAAGAGAAGAACATTTTTCTGATCTCAATTCTCTTGCCTTCTACTTGTGAGTTGTATTTTTTCAGCCCTGCCCCTAGTTTGACGCTGGGGATGTGAACCTGGGTGCAGCTACAGGATTCTTCCCTGACACAGCTGCTCTACACCAGAGATGAAATAATTCTTTTTAATAATATGAGAGAGAGAATGGAAATGTTAAAAAGTATATTATTTTAAAGTGAAAATAGATTCCTTCAGATCCCAGACTGCACGGTCAGCCCGAACTGGTATTTTGGGCTGTGCACCTTTGCAACGTACAGGTCTGGGTCTAGAATTTTGGCTGCTGGTTTCATTGCTGTGTAAGAGAGTGGCTTTTGGTGATGAAATGAGAACCTGTGTGCTCAGAGCAACGTGGAGTTGTCGATTTTTCTCCTCCTCTGAGCACTGAGGGCCAAATGCACCCACTCATAAGCTGCTGTTGGAATCAACTGACTCGTCTGCCAGGCGAGTGTTTGTCTGTGAGAGCCTGGGCTTGCTTTTGGGTTCTGCTGCTGGAATCCCAGACTCCCCTCCCCAGTCTGGGGCACGGTTGATGTGTTGCAGTTGGTTCCCTGGTGACCTGTCTCTCCTGTCTGTCATTCCACCAGGATATTGGTGCAGGCAAAGGCAAGTACTACGCTGTCAACTACCCCCTGCGGGACGGGATCGATGACGAGTCCTACGAAGCAATATTCAAGCCAGTAAGTGAAGACCTCTTTGCTGAGTGACTCTTTGTGGGTCGTGCTTTGTCACTGGGTGGCTCCTGGAGCTGTTCTCTGGGGGGATTGATTCAGTCTCCTGTGATAAGACTCTTCAGGAGCTATATTCCTAACAATTGCAGCCTGTCGTCAAGAAGCTTCGCTCTGTAAGAACCTCAGTGTTAGCAGCACAGGGGAGTCAGCAGCTGTGGGAGCACTGGGGATGATGTCCTCTTGTCCCATCACTGTTTCTGTGCTGCTGTCCTGTGCAGAGTGCCTAACAAGGGGTCTCTTTGTTTAGGTGATCTCTAAAGTGATGGAGACGTTCCAGCCTAGCGCGGTTGTCCTGCAGTGTGGGTCAGATTCTCTGTCAGGGGACAGGCTGGGTTGTTTTAATCTGACCATCAAAGGTAAGAGAACTGGACAGTGCCTGTGTCAAGCTGGCATAACTGATAGACTTACATTTCTTTAAAAAGTGTGATGTTTTTCTGCCACGAGGCTGTGACCTCTTCCCCCACTGTTTTTGCCCCAGGTCATGCCAAGTGTGTGGAGTTTGTGAAGAGTTTTAACTTGCCCATGCTGATGCTGGGGGGAGGTGGTTACACCATCCGCAACGTGGCGAGGTGCTGGACCTATGAGACTGCAGTGGCTCTGGACACTGAGATCCCCAATGGTAACTCTCCCCAGGAGCCCCCAGGCTAAGGAGCAGGGACACTCTAGTAACTGCTCGGGGAAACGATGTGGCTGTGGCAGAAGTGGCAACGCTGAGATGTTTCATTAGCTTCTGATTAGGACTGTAGGAGAATTTGGAGTCCCTGGTTTGTGGTAGCTGTTCTTGTTGTGTAGCTCTCCCCTCCAGCCAAAGGTGCCCAGCAGCCTTGATGACTTCTGAGAGGAGTTGACCTTCTGCTGAAAGCTTTTGTGTGTGCTGGTTGTGTTTAACTGCCCAGTAAGCTTTGACTGCACTATTGCTGAGTTGCCCACTTTGATCTGACTTTGGGCTAGGAGACCTCCATCTCCTACACCTACCTAAATTTTTCTGTAGAAGTGCAACATGTTTGTGGCATTTTGTCACCAGTCCAGTGGTAATTTAGTGTTTTATCCCTTTTTAACTTGCCTGCAGAGCTTCCATATAACGACTACTTCGAGTACTTCGGGCCTGACTTTAAGCTCCACATCAGTCCCTCCAACATGACTAACCAGAACACCAATGAGTATCTCGAGAAGATCAAGTGAGTGTTTGTCCCTCTTGGTGAGGCTGACACCTTCTGCTGGGGGCTTTGCAGCCGTGGGTGGCATCTTGCTGATGGAGATGTTCCTCTCCTGCCTGGCTCTAGGCAGCGTCTCTTTGAGAACCTGCGCATGCTGCCTCATGCCCCTGGCGTCCAGATGCAGCCAATCCCTGAGGATGCTGTTCAGGAAGACAGTGGAGATGAAGAGGAAGAAGATCCTGAAAAACGTATTTCAAGTACGTGCTTGTCTCTGGTGCTGGCTGGGAAGTGTTCAGAGCTGGTGGGTGCCAATGCTGAGCAGGAGCAGTTAGCTGGAGAAACGTGCAGGCTCTGACCTGAGTTACCTTAGGAAAGAGGGGAGGATTTCTGATTTAGATCTCTCTGTTTCCTGGAGTCCTTCACTTTGGATCTGCTCCCACCTTTCCAGTTGATTTTGTAAGGTGCAGTGTTGCTGGTGAGCACTGCAGGGCTGGGATGTTTCTCTTCCCTGGGAGAAATGGCACTTTTGCCAGATGATTTCCATAATGGGAGAACCCAGGCTTTAGTGTGAGAATTTAAACAGTTCCTGTGGTGTAGGTGCTATGACAGAATGCTTTCTGCAAGACTGTCAGGTTTGATCCCAGAAGTTGTCTGGATTCTGCAGTGAAAATGCTGCTTTCTATCCAGATTGGCTGGTGGCCTTTAGATCTGGCAGACAGATTTTCACAGTGTGAGGTTGGTTAACCTGCTTGTGCTGTCAAGTCTAGACATCATGCTGTCCCTAATCCAAGTCCTACATGTGATCTTGGATCTTGGTCATGGGCAGTTAGGAGTGATGAGTTAAAACATACAGCAGGTAGAGAGAGAAAGTGTTTTTATCGTGGCCTAATCCTGACTTACGTAGGTTTGGGAGTTCATTCCAGCATATAGATGTACTGGAAGTTAGTGCTTGGTGTCTCCTGACTTCTAAACCTGGTGAAACAACCTCTTGTCCTCTTCACACTCAGTCCGCAATTCTGATAAGAGGATATCCTGTGATGAGGAGTTCTCTGACTCTGAAGATGAGGGGGAAGGAGGGCGCAAAAATGTCGCCAACTTCAAGAAAGCAAAACGTGTGAAAACAGAAGAGGAAAAGGAGGAAGAGGAGAAGAAAGGTAAGCAAGAGAACTAGGACTAGGAGCCCTCCTGGCTCTGTGGAGCTTTAGCATGTACTTTCCTACTGCACTACTGTTGGTCTGTTTGTTTTCCTAGATGAGAAAGAAGAGGAAAAGCCAAAAGAGGAGAAAGCAGAACCCAAAGGGTGAGCTCTGTCTCTGGGCAGAATGGCTGTGCCTTGACTTCCTTGTGTGTCTACCCGTGGCCCCAGTGGGATGTTGCACAAGGGATCAGAGGAGAGAGGTGGTAGTTTGGGTGGTTTTGTGGTGGGCTCATAACGGGGAGAAGTTTTGTGTGTGTAGAACAGCACATCTGATAAAGTGCTGTGAGAGCAGAGCCCTCGTTGAAAAGGGCTGAAAAATGCTGAGCCTTCATTCAGTAACAGCACAAGCTTTAGCTGAAGATGGACCATATAAGCAGCATTTTTAAGCTTGCAGCTTTGGCACGTTGTTATTAAAACGTGGGTGCAGCCCAAGCTGATTGTTTCAACCAACTTCTTCCCTGTTTGCTTCCCCAGGGTGAAGGAGGAGACAAAATCCACCTAAGATGGCTGCAGCTGGACAGCACCTGTCAGTGTGTAGTTGTCGTAGGTTAGCTTCCCTGGTTGCCTCCCATTCCACAGGATTTATATTTTATATATGTTTCTGTATATATTTCTATATAAATATATAAATGACTTGAGAACTGTAAATTATTCCTTGCTGCACTCCACTGGGAGCAGACTGGGAGGATTCTGCAGAGGAGCCAGACCTGCACTGCCCAGCTTTGGTGACTGGGAAGTTTCACTCTTGCCTTCCACTGCCTCTTTAGTGTGTCTTTAAAAGAAAAATCACTTCCTTTCTTGACTCTCTCCTCTGAAATAGCCACCCTTGGAAAAGAATAATTTAAGTAGTAGTATCATCTTCATTTCAGGTTAGGTGGAAAGATGGCCATGAGTTTTCTTTTTGGTTTTGCTTTGATTTGTTTTGTTGTTGTTGTGGGAGAATACGAGTTCCCAAATGAAGCCTGTGAGAGACTGACTTATTCCTTTGGTCTTTGATTCCACCATGGCAAGTAACTGCAAGCTGGTGCCATTTCTCAGGGTCAAATAGTGCAGTTCTTGAATAGAGTTGGTGACCTCCCTGCAGCAAACTCACGGGGAAGAGATGAAGCAGCTTAAAAAACAATCTGAGAAGGGCTTTGGTGAAGCAGCCTGAGGGCCCCGTGGGGGCAGATCTGGGAAATGGTGCCTCACCTTTTCCAGGATCTTGCAGATCCAGTTGGTGTGTGGCAGTGTGAGAAGGGGTGATGTTTTTACACTTTTTTTTTTCCACATCAGTGCCCCCCTCTTTTTGGGGGAAGCTCCTGCCCCTTGGGCTGCCTGCTTTGCTTGTTCCACCCTCAGCTACACGTGCTGTAGCGTGCTCCCCGTGCTGATCTGTGTCCTGGGCTGAAATCACTGCAGAAAACCCCCAAATGCTCTGGAGGGCAGACAGAACAGAGCCTGAAACCTCTTGTCGATGTGTGTCACTCACTGAAAAACTCTCCTGTGAAGTGATAAATGTTTTCAGATTGAACCTTCCCCCCCCTCTCTTGCTCTCAAGGCCAGTAAAGAGGGAGAAGCTTCTTATCAGCTGCCTGAGCTGTTATCAGTACAAGGGAACAGCAGATGGGGCTCTGCACGTTTTTATAACTACTCCTCTTCCTACTCCCACGCATTATCTCACACCCAAAGGTCTTTTGTGACCAGAACTGGCCTTTTTTTTTTTTTGCATCTCTTTTTTGTACAGCTGATGAGTAGAGGAGCTTTTGCTGAAATGCTTGGCAGGAGTTTTGCAGGCAGCTCTGACTCGCTGCTCTCCTTTCTCAGGGGGATTCCTCTGTCCCTAAGAGGATCTGTACCTCCCACGGAGCGCTGCCCGATGGTTTCCACTCTAATAATGCTGCTAACTGAACACAGGTTATTTTTTAAAGGTTTTATTTTTTTAAAAGACTTCTTTTCCCTTTTCCACCCTGAGTTTTTTAGTCTCTTTGGGATCCGAGTGACGTGTCACTCCTGCTCTTCAGTGTTTGTATGTGAAGCGAGAGAGCTCAGTGTATCTTTGTGTCAGGGGGGTTGGGAGGGTGGGGGGGGATATATTGTGGTTTTTTAAAGATGCTTTTATTTTGAATTTTGAGAATCTTTGTAATAAAACTGGTCCATTTCTATGGTCGGTGTGAGTTCGTGCTGCTTTCTGCTGAGAGGAAACCCTCGGTTTGAGTGGGGGGTTGAGTTTTTCAGAGCCATCACTAGAAAATGGTGCAGCAGCTTGGTCAGGAGCATGATGTCACCTAGGCCCCAACAACAAAAAAATGAATGTACCACACAAAAAGCTCTAATAAGGCTTTGGAAAGAAAGGTGAGGTGAGGCACAGTTCCTTTCCCTCCTCTTTCAGGGCTAGATGGTCTAAATACCATTTGGTTTGGAACACACTCTGTGCTGTAGGTGAAAGATTGCTTTAATTCCCTTGTGGATGTTTGGTATTTTTATCTTTTCCCCCTGTGTTTTATAAAACAGCCTTGAAATTCTCCTCATCAGCCTTCTCTCCAGAAGAGGTAAGTCAAAATACCATGGCTTTGTTTGCTCAGCTTCTATAACTAAGGGTCACCAGAGCTGCTTTTTTTTTTTTTTTCCCCTCCTTTTTCCTAAATTACAGCTGGTTCTTGTCCAGCAGCATTGCTGACACTAATTGGGTTTGTGGTTTGGTTGGAGTTAGAGCACTTCATGCAGCTGATGCTCCGAGAGCAATGCTAATCTAGAGGAGGAATAATGAGTTCTGGGAAGGGAGTAGCTTTTGGATGAACTTCAGTGGGTTTTATCTAGTATTCAAGTGAATAAAAAATTCTTTATTATAATTAGGAGCAGGTTAATTGTGGGAGGGAGCAGTGAGATCACACCTGAAATGGACACAAAAGGTTCCTAAGCCAGATCTGCCGTTCGTGCAGCTAAGAACACGCTTTGCATGGCACAGTTGACTTTCATTGCTTCATTAACACTCCAGGAAACTTAATTACCCTTTTCACTGTAGCAGACAATTAAAACCCTCTCCTCCTCCAACAAAAACCAGCTGCAGAGGACGAGTCCCCCCTGCCCCTGCCGACAGGCGACCGCAGCCCTTCTCTTCCAGCCTGTCTTAAAATGGCTGCCACGGAGCTGCACGGAGCCTGGGGGGGGTTCTCTGAGCCCCACCACAGCTCCCCTGCCCCACAGCCCACCACCCAGCCCAGAAAAAACATTGCCACCATGATCTACAAATTAAACCCACCCTATTTCCTTCTCTTTTTGCCCCAACTGACTAGGATGAGCACCCTGTGATTGGAGGCAGGGCTCTTGCTTTAGCTGCCTGCTGTTGATGGAAGAGGTGCTGCACCCAAGGGGGAGTCTGGGCCTTTTCCACCTACCTGAAGAGCAGGGATGGTCCTTGGCTCAGGCCCTGCCTTGCCAGCTGGGCCAACAATGGTCCTCGGCTTTCCTCCAGCTTCTTTGCCAGCCCCAACTGCGGGGGTGGGTGCTGAGAAGGGAACTGGGAGCAGGCTGTTAAATGGTGGGGCTGGTGGAGGAGCTCTGCTGGGGCTGTAGCCTTGAGCTCTGGGCTGCTGGAGAAGGGCAGGCTCCTTCCTTCTGCTCCACACCCTTCTCAGGAAAAATTACCCCTCTCCTCGTGCAGAGGAGGGGAGACATGATAGAGGCACCCATTGTGCCTTTGTGTTCTCCTCAGAAGCCAGTCTCTGCTCCAGCATGTCTTTCCAGGGAAGATGAGCTGATCCTATCCTAAAGCCACTACAAAAATAATTAAAAATTAAAGAAGCCAAGCTTCAAGTGGGAATGTCACCCAGTTAGCCCTCCTGGGCCTCTCCTTAGGAGTAAAGACTTTACAGCAGGAGAAGAATGGTTTGGATCTAAGAAAACAGGTACTGAGCAGCAATCCAAAGGTGGTGACAAGAAGCTTGTGTGAGAAAGTCCTTTGTGGCTGTAGCTACATCTGCTGCAAGTCAATTAACCATGAGCAGAGCCAGGGCTGGAGTGATTAAATGCAGCAGCTGGTGAACTCAATAAGCAACTGGGATCTCCTCCCTGGCCCCATGTCTGATGTCCAGGACAAGAAGGACTCGAGCTCACCCATAAAGGGGTCACCATTTATTCCTTTCAAATGTTACAAGAAAGCTCATACAGCTTTTTTGTTTTTAGAAGTTAGAAAATTGCAAATCAAGTGGTTTTGGCCATTAAAAAAAAAAAAAAAGGAATTATTTACAGAGAAAACAATGTGGCTTCACATTATACAGCTGGCAGGTCCCCTCCCTCCACCCCACACCCTAAAAGTTATCCCTTAGAAGTAGAATTAAACCCAGCAGACTTACAAGCTTTATGGTTTTAAGCCAATAGTAAGACATTATATAAAAAAAAAAACTAACCAGATTAGCTTTTAAACCATTGATTTCTATAAAAAGCACAAAATACTTTAAATGAAGTCAGAACCAGGAATGTAAACTGAGAAGAACAAAAAGAATCCATTGAACAGTCACTGACTGGCTGGGCTGTGAGGGGGGGACAGCCAGGAGGCCAGCAGGGTGGGGGAGCTGGGAGTTGAAACTGTAAATTCCAGTCATGTCCAGGATAGTCTTCCTCCACAGTTTTAAAGGATTCAGGTAAAACTACTCCAAGGTGGGTGAGATCCAAACCA